TTTCTGATCATGGACAGAGTTAAGGCTATTTTCCTGCAACTCATTGCTGAGCTGGAAGCTGAACAGAGCGAAGGTAAAATTGCTGATGCAAAAGGTATTGAGCTGCGTTTATTCAAACAGATGTTAAGTTGTATAGAAACCTACTTTAAGTGTCGGAAATTCTAATGATAAATCTGTTAGCACTATTCAGACACCGACTTCTACCGAAACACGTGCTATCGCACATGATGATACTGAATCATGTGCGCATATTTGTAATACCAATAGCGTCATGGAAAGATCACGTAGCCTTATCAGGCTAAATAACGAGACTAATTCTAATTCTGAAAAGGAAATGACACTTGACAAGGACATTAGTTCCGATGAGGAAATTTATGCTAAGCGTAGAGGTGATCAGACAGTTAGGATTATGGTCCAGAAGAACACTGCTAAAAGACAGAAAATTGATGAACCTACGGTTAACACTAACTTAATGCTGGCACTTCAAAACAATAATGGAAAAGCTAAGACAAACATGAATGTTAACACAAATATCCCTGATGAAAAGGCTAAGATAAATATGATTGTTAACACAAATGACCCTGTTGAGGATAAAAAATATGGAAATAACCACGAATGAGGACAAACAAAACACTAATGAGACTCAGAATAATACTGACCAACAATAACCCACTGAAAATGACTTTGGTAGGAAAAATCGAATTCCACCTATTAACGTAAAGACTAATGGCGAAGTCTGGAAATCAATTAGGATCTTATTTAGAAAGAATAGCATTGAACCTGGCATTACTCACAAAATAGTGAGCATTTGTGATCAGTCTAAGAATCTTATTTTGCAGTAGCTGCATTCTTGTTGGCTGTATTCCAGGCAGGTGATGCATATGTTCATGATGTAAACAAGCCGCTTTCTGCGTAGGTCCAAGCTAGAATATTTGTTTTACTGGGAAGGCCTTTTTTCTGACGTTCGTGATAAGGTTTTTTCCAGGTCATTTTCTCATTAAGTGTAACCTCAAGGTATTTTGCATTTGACACTTGTGGGACCACTTCGTTGAACAAGTAGAGTTTCCTCCTGAGCTGAGTCTGAGTGTGTTAAGAGCAACTCTGATTCTTGGGCATTGATTAAAATTCTCCACTTGGTACACAACTTTCAATTTCTGGCATAATGTCTTGTAGTTTCTTTACTGCGTGGTCTGCGACATGTACGCAACGAGTGATGGTGTACCACCGGAGTGCCTGGGTCAAAGGACCCTAACCCCAATCGAAAATACGCTAGTTCGAACAGAATGCAAACTAAAAATATGGCCAAGATTTCTAATACACATTTTTATTCTTTTCTTCTTTTTTTTACATATTTTTTTGAGAATTTTTTATAAGAACTTTATATATATATATATATATATATATATATATATGGGCTTAATAATGAAGGATGGTTAATAATGAACAATGAGAGCGTACATAATCATGAAAAATGCCGTCCAGGAAAGCCACTAGCAGGAACAGAAACAACAGTACATAACAAAAAATATTGGTAAGTGCAAGACCCAGTGTGCAATATTATAAGAAAACATGAATACATCCATAGAATAATTTACAAATACGGTACAGGTAAGAAGTAACATTAATGCACAATACAAAACATGCCACACAGAAGTTAGTCAACAGCATCACTAAGAATGGCCATAGGCCTTTTGATGTTGCATTGATCATTGAGATCATAATCATAAATTTTAATCACGGGATTACCAATGGACTCCAGGTCTTCGTGAAATTGTTTGGCTAGTCGATAGTAAAATGTTCTAATATGATCTATTTTCAGTTCAGTATGTAGTCTGCGATTTTGAACATACCATGGGGCACTGGCAATTTGTCTCAAAACCCCGTTCTGTGAAGTTTGCAGCCTTTTCCTTAGGGATCTACTAAAATAAGCACACACAGCGCAAGCATAACACAATAATGGACGTAGAAGGGACTTGTAAATGAGTAACTTGTTGTCTATAGAAAGAACGCTGTTTCGAGCAATTAAGGGGAATAGTGTATGTTTACGTACTCGAAACTTTCTGATAATAGATATAATGTGTGGGGCCCATGAGAGAGTTTTACTGAGGATCACTCCAAGATAAAGGACTTGCCTGGACGAGGGAATTGACACTCCATAGAACTGGAGGTTTTTGGTGAATTTCTTGCCCGAGTTTTTTTCCACATTAACCTTAATTTCCCATCTGATGAGCCAAGTCTCTAATGCGTGGGTGTGGTTTTGTAGCCGTTGTATAACTGGACTCAAAAATGCACTTTGTGTAAGGATCGCAGTGTCATCAGGATACATTGCGAGTGTTGTGTTGTTCAGAGTAGTTATGTCGTTCACGTAGATATTAAAAAGTAAGGCTCCTAGGAGACAGCCCTGCGGGACGCCTGCTAGGATAGGCCTAGGTGCAGAAAGTGTTCCTATGAACGCGAAAGACAAAGTGTCTACCTGCCAGGTAGGATTTAATTATGTGTGTAATGTACCCTGGGAGCCCCAGTGTGTAACTTGTAAATGAGAGCATCCAGCCAGACGCGATCGATAGCCTTAGCTATGTCGAGGAAAAGGCCACCTGTGACCTTTTTACGTTGAAAGCCTTCATTAATTAGTTCCACAACTCTATACAGTTGATGGGTCGTTGAATGATGATTTCGAAATCGAAATTGATACGGAATGAGTATATCGTTGCTTTCAATATGCTGTTTCAGTCTTGTAAGGATGGCACCCTCAACTATCTTGCTTAGTGCAGACAGCAGACTAATAGGTCTATAGGATTCCGGAACGTTCACAGGTTTTTGAGGCTTAAGAATTGGTGTGATCACTGCAACCTTCCAGCATTCAGGAAAATGCTGCAATTTGATGATGATATTGATAATCTTGGTGAAACGTAGTATAATCTTCCTGGGGAAATTCTTGATCATCTGGTTCGTAATTTTGTCATATCCAGGACTTTTACTTTTTCTTCAGATTTTTGATGTAGCTACAGACTTCCGACGGTAAGACTGGAATGATGTTGTCTGTGCGTGGGTTTGCTATGTAACTGGCGTGAAAGTTATTAATTAACTGTTCTGTAGGAGTGTCGTGAATGTTGTTAGTGCGAAACTGAGATTCCAGATGCTGAACTAAAGGTGCTCTGGATGAGGGCATAAAAATATTACCATTTCAGACTTTTAGCCTTTCATAGTACAGCGACATTGGAAAGGGAAGAGTAAGAGTTCAAAGAAACAGGCTTTGGACTAAATGAAGCACAGAAAGGAAATACATACTTTGTTCAAATACCATATAGCAGTGATGTAAAACACAAACTTCATGCAGGCTAAATGGAAGATGTGAAAGCAGCTGACTGAACAGAACTTTTTTTTCTTTTTTTTTTTTTTACAAAATTAAAAAAGTTAAAATGTTTAAGAAGCTTCTGGAGATATATTACATATAGATAACTTATATGCTTAGTTTCTTTTCCTCACTTATTTGTTTTCAAAGCATAAATAAAAATACATATCTAAATAAGCATGAACTTCTTTATTTCTCACTACAGCTTGACGGTAGTGTTTTGATTCCAAATAAAGTTAATAGCCTTGGACAGAAATTATCTTCATCATGGATTGTGGATGCTCATTGGTCAACTGTGTTCTTTTCTCACTAATTTTCACCTGTGAAAAAAAGCGGTTTGCTAATTAATGTATTTTCCAAATAAAGCATTTATTCCTGGTTCAAAAATGCGTAACTGAGGTTATTTATTTTTTACCAAGTATGAATAAAAGTTAATAAAATCTGTACCTTCAAATCTCTGAATAAGATTTATATCACTATAAATTAGTTGGCTATATTTATAGATTTTCTGTTGCATTATTCATGTTCGCTTTCAATGCAAATGAAAATAATGTAAATCAAGTTTGAATTGCATCACCATAAGTGAGATGTCTTTGTGGGTTATAGGAGGGCTGTGGGTCACCAGTTTAATACCTCTACATACAGCAAGCCTGTTAAGTAGATTGCCATAAAAAATCAATTTCTTTGTACAGTCAAAAGTCTTTAATGCGGACTCCTCGGGACTTCGGCGACTCCGGATTATCGGTTTTTCCGGATTATTGATCATCAATTTAAATCTGTTACGACGTCATGCAGAAATTATAAAATTAAAAGTATGAAACCGTAATTTATGAAATAAAGAGCAATTATGATCTAAAGTGTATTAAAATTTACAAAAAAAAAAGCTTAATATTTGTTTACTTTATTAAACATTTCTTTCAACGCGCACATGCGTAAAGCATACATTACGTATAGTCGAAATTAGAAAATTGCAACCAGAAAACTATTTGATGTGTATTCATGATATTTATAATGACGAGGAATTTGATTTAAATCATATGAAAGACAGAGTAACTCGAGATGAAATACTACATTTAGTAAGGAATTATAAACCAAATAAAATAAAAACATCTGCCCTGAAGATAAGGATAGCGCTGACAGATCAATTTCCAGATCATTGTGCACCGCAACGCACCCCCCCTCTCCCGCAGAGCAGCGTGAAATTGATAAACAAATTTTGGAATGGTTAGAGAAACAAAGGATATGGCTTTATCCATTTTTTTGCAGCAATTTCACTTTTTGTTTGATGGACATCGAAACATGCTTTCGCTTTGTAGATCCTTTGGCAGCTCCAGAATCGGAAATTCTTTTTGACATAATCAAAAGTTCAAGCTTACTTTTATAAAATTGCTCCAACGATCTGCAAAAAATAATAAGCCGGATCCAATTAGAAGATTAAGGAACAACGCAATGATGATGAAATGAATTTTTGATGAACCTGGCAAAACAGTTATAACCTGACTTTTTTAAGACTGATCAAACATCAAAAGTTTAAATTCATTTTCTAAATAAATATATTTTTTTCCCCCAAGATTCACAGTTATTATATAACACTGAAGATGCACAAAAGCTACTAATCTCATTTAAGAAATCTCAAACATATTTGACACATTCTTCAATAACTTGTTTTTATTTATACATAAAAAAATAATACAAATTTAATATAATGAAAACAAAATTCAAAACTGCTGTTCTCCAATTATACACAAAGTTCTCCTTAATTGGAAAACAAAGATGAACTAAAAAAAGAGTTCATTTTCCATCTTCCTTTGTAAAAACTATGCACCACTTTTGAGACCCATTTTTTGACTTAGATTAATCTTATCTCCAAGACTAAGAGCCATGCCCTAGGAAAAAAATAAGAAGCAAATTATACCACAATATGTATTAACTGTACAAAACAACTTCAAAAAATATTGTTGATGAGGTTCTTTCAAGCAACATCATCAACAACACTTCAATAATAAACTATTAATAACATCAAAAATACTTTCTGAAGAATTAAATATGATTTATATTATATACACTTAACTAGTTTTCAAAATTTTTAATTATGTAGTAGCTCAGATAGCCAAAAAGGAATTTTTTTCGCAGATGATCTTAACATAAAGTTCTGAAGTTCTGAAGATCTTAACATAAAGTTGAAGGAAATATTTTTCAACCTACCAAAAATCTTGAAAGTGAAATATATGAGAAAATTCTTATATACGAGTAGATTTATATCTGACACTGAAATAAATCCTATTACAATATTTAAGATCTTCATTTAATGAATATAAAAACAAATACATAATAATAAAAATAATAATTTCTGGAATCATTTTAATAAGTTAAAATGTTTTCTGGAAATAATCTGCTTGAAGACGATTCCCAGTTTAGGTATTATTAAAACCTAGTAAAATACAACTTCCCAACTGTTTTCTCTAAAAACTGACAAACTTCTTTATCAAGTAAAATATTCCTTTATTAGTTTCTAAGAGTATATTAATTAAATTTAATTATTTCACTTTTTTCATTAAAAATTTAAAAATTATCTGTTAACAAATAAGTAATATTGCAGCTATTTCCAAATAACAAATTACTAATTTTGCAATATTTAAATGATAATCATTTTGAATTTTTCTAAATTATTTTTTATAAATATTCAAACCTGTAACATTTGATAAACTGTAGCAATTTGCAACACCAAGAGAAATATGGCACACATTTAAAAATTTTACGAAGTTTATACCCCCCTTTCTAAACTACTTGGTTGCTATTTTTATTCATTTATTAGTCCAAAGGGGCTTTGTCCCTGAAGGACTATTGTTTTCGTTTTGCGATTTTGCGTTGATCACTTAGGACTATTGTTTTCGTTTTGATTTTGCGTTGATCACTATAACTATGGTCGTTTTGCGTTTCGTTGATTTTACGGCGAATCCCTTTTCAAACTGTTGCCACCAAATATTAGAGTCCTGCATTATGTTTGAAGAAATTAAATAATGAAAAATCTGCATAAATGTATGTATATTTCTCGCACTGTGATAAAACAACAGTACATAGAGCCATCGAATTTTGAATGACGTAATCCTCTTATGAATATGGGCACGTGGAAGACCAAATTTGGAAGTTGTTTTATGAACTGAATTTTATGGTTTAAGTGCAAAGAACGTGATATTTAATAAAAAATGGTAACACACAAAATGTTAAAAAAAAAGGCCTCTTTGGACGTAATTTAAAATCTGAAACCTTTCAGATTTTTTTTAAATTATTTTTTTTTTGTTTGTTTTTATATTCAGTACATGTATCCCAGACTTTCTATAAAATTGAACATGTTGTCATTGGTTGTGTTTTTTAATTAAGAGCGTATAAAAAAAAAAGTTCTGTTCCTTTTGGGGGGGCATGTACCTTTATGAAAGGGAGAATTCTTCAGATACCAGTAAGTCTACAGTCAAACAATCATTCAGCCATCATAACACGAATATGAAATACAAAATAAGGATTTTATTCCTATCTCTTTCTGATGGGTAATTAATTACATTAAATGGGTAATTTTAAAGTTACCTTGCAACAATTATTAATAAACCATATCTGACTGAGACTTATTCCCACTCTAACCACATGCCTACCAATAAGTTAACAGTTCATCATATTTAATACAAATGCAGATAAATAAATACATGACAGCATAAAAACAGAATATAATGTTAAAGTGTGACAGAAATTATGCGATGAAAAATGTTTAAAATATTTCTTTTTAATGCTAAATTTTTGAAAAACCACTGCAGATTCTGAAATGCACTGACAAACAGAAATTTATATAGTGCATCCGTAAAGTCATGGTGCACTTTTGATCGGTCACAGGAATGCAACAAAACAAGATAGAAATGTGAAATCTTCACCAAACAAAAGGAAAACTCTCCGAGTTTCCGTAGTATGATGTGCAAGCACGTGTGCACACAGGTGATGATGCAACACCGTGAATTGCGAAGCAGATCATCAGTCCATCCATGCCAGTCGAGATGTGGACATAGAGAGTAAAGTTCAGAGTGAAAGTTCAGTGTGTTCTGTTGCTTGCCAAATTCTAACCAGTGACCAAAATTCAATGTGATATCGTCGTGTGTACAACGAATTGTCACCACATAGGAATAACATTAATCAGTGGGATAAGCAGTTGAAGAATATCGGCAATTTGTAGGATATACCCCGTTTGGGCAGGCCATCGGTCAGTGACGAGTCTGTAGAGGGTATATGGAAGAGTTAAACTGCACTGAATTGGTATGAAACTTCAAGTGGTTTCCTTTTGTTTGGTGAAGATTTCACATTTCTATCTTGTTTTGTTGCTTTCCTGTGACCGATCAAAAGTGCACCATGACTTTACGGATGCACTATATTTACTATACTGTAAAATGCAAGTACACCACTGCTGACGAACTGGAGGCCTGGGATTAACTACTATATTTTAACGACTGTTCCTAAGTTACCTAACAGATACACATGTGTGGATGTACATAAGTATGATATATAAATATGTAACAGATATGAGATAGCCTAGAGATCTAGAGTTGAAATGTATCGTGAACTAGTTGCTTTCCATGAACAATGTACTCTGATTGACTTGTATAACATCTTCAGAACAAATAATTTATCAGGAATTACATTAAAAATGACATTTTGAATTTCTTATATATGCAAGATAAAAAACATGAAAGCAAACTTTTAATTTTAATTGGTTATAACCTTTTATATTTTATTTAATTTGAGGACTTCCTCTCTCTGTCTTAGACATAGTGCCACAAGTCTAAACTGCGTCATTCATATTAATCATGTCATCTTACACAATATTTTCATTTTAATGATTTAATTCATTTATTTAATTTTAATTTTTTCTCATTTAATGCTTTATGCAAATATCTCTTTCCCAGTCAAAGTAACTGTAAACCAAAACTTATTGACTCCGTTCATTATTACTGCAACACTCTCTCTCTCCCTTTTTGCTTATGCTTTCATTCTGTTAGGCTGCTGCTGCAATCATCTGTGTTCATTTCTATTGCAATAGTATCAAAACTGTTCTTGAAATAGGCACGAATGGAGTGCCAAGTGAATTGTAACCATAAATATGAATTCAAATAAAAGAAAAAAAGGATCAATCCTGTCGACTACACCAAAAAATATAATGATAGCACAATCTTGGAAGCAGTGATGTAAGACCCGAGATGTAAAAGCATAGCAATGTCATTTAGTGTAGATACTTGATGCTCGGAGTGTCCATCCCAATTTGAAGAAGCAGCAGTAGAATTGTGACGTGAATGAACCAGAAAGAATTTTTTACAGATTGGACTGAAATCTTAATAGGACTTTAATGTGCAATTGTTTTTAAAAGAATATAGTGCTTAAAATTATTATTGAACTCAAACTTTTACGTATAATAACTTTTTAATTGTTCAAAAACTTTTTTTATGTTTTTTATTTTCTAAATTATATCTCTCATATTTTGCTGCTCTAATACTTTTTCTCTCAAAGGCTTCTCTATCACTCTACCTTTTTCTTTTTGAAGGGGGAATGTGCAAGATAAAAAATATGAAAGCAAACTTCTAATTTTAATTGGTTATAACCTATTTTATTTTTTATTTAATTTGGAGACTTCCTCTCTCAGTCTTAGAAATAGCGCCATACGTCTAAACTGCATCATTCAAATTAATCATACAATCTTATGTAACGCTTAATGCAGATATCTCTTGCCCAATCAAAGTAATTGTAAAACAAAAATTTTGACTCCCTCCCTTCTTTCTCTGCATTACTACTGCAACACTCTCTCCCTTTCATCCTGTTAAGACGCTGCTGCAATCATCTATGTTGACTTCTATCGCAACAGTATTCAAATTGTTTTGGAAACAGGCACGACTGGAGTACCAAGTGAATTGTGGCACACAAATGTGAATTCAAATAAAAGAAAAAGGAATTTAATCTGGCTCAACAGCTTCTTCTTCAGAATGGATGGACACTCTGAGCATCAAACATCTATGCTAAACAACATTGCTATGCTTCTACATCCCAATGGTCTTGCATCAGTGCTTCCAAGATTCTGCATCATTACATGTATTTATTCTTTCATTTGGTCTCACTAAAGTTTGAAAGAAGCATAAATAATAATATCTCAAAATAAGCTCTGGTTTATTACTCCAAGCCATAGTCAATTGCTAAAAGTGAACATACTGCACAATCTATGGTATCAACTCACATCTTAATTTAACTCATGCATACACAGAAGTTTGCTCCTGCTGAATTAGATTAGCAAACTTTTGTGCATTAGAAAACAAGCAATCTTTTTTTTTTTTTTTTTTTTTTTTTTTTTTTAAATTACGTACAAGTACTTATATTTCAGTTACACAGAATTACATACACACAAGACATTAATAGACTAATAATTAATTAATATTGTTGAGTTTAAACTTACTTGACTTTTTGCTCTAATTCTAATGTGACCAGTCACAGGGGCTTCTGGGTGCATTGGGTTTTTCTCAATGCTGACATTAGCCAATGCATATTCCCCAAATATGGAGCGAGCATACAGGTTTGCAGCCATAAAACCACATTCACCAGATAATGCCTAAATCATTTATAAAATATATATTTTGCAGAAAAATGTAACAGAATTGAACTCATCAAATAATCCTCAAATATTTTATGAAGAGATAAGAGAGGAGAAAAAATAAAATCAGTTGCAACATTAAAGGCACGATGTAAAAATACATAGGTAAATAGGAACTGAGAGCATGATGCAAAAATCTACACCCTGAATCAAGAAGAAATCATTAGAATGAAAATGTGAATAAAAACTACACATATCTAACACATAAGTGCACAGTACAAAAAAGGGCACAAAAGTCATTAAACTAAATTTTTAATATTTCATCTGTAGTGATATACTCGTGGATAGTATGCAAACTAGTATCAAATCATCAACATTTGGGTTGTTATGTGAATACTATCATGAACTCATTTATTCAAAGAAAGACATTATGGTGAATTTAGTTAGGAATCTGAGTATGCTTTTATCCCAGCATCTAAAAACTCCCGACAGCTACAAACTAAAAAGTTTGTGGTTTCATACTAATCAATGGATGATATGCTGTTTTTAACTCTTATTGATAAACAATGCCACAATCATAAATTAATATCAAAAATCCCAAAATAGTAATCTATCACTCACATCTATTTAAATTTGGTTTAACTCCAGACACCCAAAACAATATACAGCAAACATAAAACTAAAAATGATTCACTTAAAGAATAAATAAGTAATTAAAACTGTTTTCATTTGTAGATGAGCTTGCATTAAACTCGAAATGCAGGTAATATTTATCTTTAGACTTTTATTTATCTGTACCAACAAAAGTTTTCATGTTGCCTTTATTTTCTGAATTGTTGGTCAGAGACTTTCAATCAAAATGCATCACAGGATGCAAATATTCAAGTTTTGGCATTTCTAAATAAAAATCAATTTGGTAAAAATTCCAAAAAATAATTTTTTAACCAGTCACCCAGTTTAGTTTGCACAGTCATTTTAGTTATATATATGAAATGTAATACTCATTATAAAAATAAAACAAAAAACATTCGGCTTCTGTATGATAAAAGGAAGAGGCATAAAGTCATTGAACATTGATAGTTCACCCCAGGTCTAAATAATGGAGAATGGACTGGCTACATGGGAAATTTTGTGGTTTCCCATGTTTACCATGGATATGAAACACTTCATGAAGACAACGTGCCCCACAAGAACACAGCCTTTGAATTGCTTTGCCTTAATCAATTAACCTAAATTAAGCCATATGACAAAAAATTACCAAGATATTTAAATTTGAGATTTCTGATATTTTCAGCTTGCTGGTTAAAAAACAAATTAGAATGATTTAAGGTTGATTTCACCCCTTTTAATGTCGTTTAGCAACATTCTTTTATAATTTACTAAAGTGAAACACTCTAAAGAGTAATTTCTATCATGAATTCTATCATATCTATTCTTTCTTTCATGCAAGTAATTTCTATGTTTTCGAAACATAAAAATAAGTTCTCCTGTAACCTTGTTTTAGAATCTTAATCATATACAAAATTAATTAAACTAGCAACATTTTATTCATGAAAATAATGCTACAAGTTAGAAATGTGCTACAAGAATATGAATTCTAAGAGATTCTGTGAATAATGTTTTCCGAAAAAAAAATTATACCGATGCATAATTTTCATGATAATCTGTATAGTTATGCTTGTCATTCAATCCATTAACATCAGATGCCTTTTCCTAATCCTGATATTTCATTTTTAATTATATACAAACGAAAACATTTCACTCTTCAGTTTGTGCATTATCACTGCATATGATCGTAAACTTTAAAATTAAATATGTCTGCTAGGATGCCAATCCTTTTGCATTTTATTGTTTACAATAGTAGAATATTTTCTACTCTGGAATACTTAAATATTTTGTATGTATGAAAATACAAACTTTATTTCTGTAAAATTGAAATTTGATGCGACACATTATAATTCTACTCTCAATAAGCTGTTAGTCTATTACTATTTTGTTGTTTATTTCTTTAAGCAGTTACTAAGGGAACGAAGCGACCATACAAAGTCAGCTTTCATAATTTTTGAAAAACAGAAGATTTTTTTTTTCAATTTAAAAATGTCAAAACTAAAAAAACTCAAATATCTGCATCACTTAAAACATTTTTGTAATTGGAAGTAGATGTCTTTGAGAAAATAAAAGGTGGTATAAAAATTTTTATGTTGGCAAGGTATTTTTGTTAGCAAGAATTTTTACTCTTTTTTCTTTTCTTTTCTTTTCTTTTTTTTTTTTTTTTTTTTTTTTTTTTTTTAACTATTTTCATGAAATTAAATTTCACAGATCTTGAAGTCAACAGAGCTAAAATATTTCCACAATATGAAATGACAAAATGTGCAAATTTTCTCTCTAATATTCTAAAAACAAGTGAGTAATCTATGCAAATCTAATCTAAATTCTATGAGAAATTTTCAACTTTAAAGATATATGACCATATGAAGCAAATTAGCTCTGCAAATTCAGTTTGAAAATTTAAAAATTTTATCAAATATTCAAACTTAGCCCACTCATTGAATACATATCTTTGTACATACAGGAAGAAAGATATGTCTGTTTTAAGTCTTCCTTGCTTAGGCTCAAAATAAATGTGAAAGAAATGGGAAAGTTTAGATGAAAGAAATGAAGTGAATGAATGAATCAAATGAAGGCACGAGAAAGAAGTGAATCTGAAAGAGATGAGAAAGATGCAGAACACCTACCATATAATATAGTTTAAACAGCAGAGAAGCTTCAATCATTAAGAATCACTTAAAAAGCAAGATGCAAGCAATAAATAAATAGATCATTAATTTTCTAGTATCTCAATAATATATGCTCTTCTTTCTTTTCTATCATTTTAAAATACCACATATCCTGACATAAAAAAATACTTGAAGGAAATCATATCACAGGGGGATGGTCAAACTTCCATCTCAGTAATTCCATCAGAGCCACATGTCGGAATTCAGGAAAGTCTGAAGGCCACAACTAGATTTTTCCACAAGCCGTCAGTCCACAGAATCATCCTTTGCATCATTATAAAAGGAGCGAAATGTGTGAAACGGAAACTCATTCAAGACTGGCAGCTAGCCATTATTTACCCCTTTCTTCTCCACCTCCTTGCCTCCAACCTTACAGATCTTTACCTTCTTATTGTTATAGCAAAGGAGCTAAAAAGTTCTTACATTTTTCAAAAGCGAACAGCAGTTGGTAGACAAGACTATAATAGGCTGGAATAATTATTTTTTTTAAAAAACTGCACTTGATATGGATGCAGGAAAAGAATTTAACTCATTAAAACAAAGCCATATCAAGATACAATAACACACAACAAATATTAATTTAAACAAATATAATTTAATAATTTTAAAAAGTCAAACAAAAATCGGAATTATATTTTCAAATTTCACAGGACTAGTTTCGATGGTTTTACTGAACCATCATCCTTAGCTGCAAAAGCGCAAATGAACAAGATAAGATATAATGATAAGATAAGAAACCCTGGACAGGAGATAAGCTACTGGTGCCATCTTTTGATGAAACCAGAACTAAAATATAACTTCTTTAAAGGCTGAAGGCAAAGATGGATTGGAATTAGGGTCGTTAACTAGAACAGAAAGATTTTTTTTGGAATGTGAAATGTAGAAAATCCAGTTCACCAATGGAAGATGTTTCTCGAATAATTTTGGCAGCAGAAAAATTGAAAGTGTGATTTTTGGACTAACAATGTTGGGCAACAGAAGACTTCTGTGTTTCCTTTTTTCTAACATATGCCTAATGTTCCCTAATGTGAAATTTTAAGGCTCTCTTAGTTTGACCAATGTAAATTAAACCACAATGGCAAGGAATCCTGTCGATACCCCAGGAATTCATACCCGGAATGGGGTATGGAACTCGGAATTTTATTGATGGAAAAAATAAACGATCCGAAAGTTAAATTTCTCCAAATTTATGTGTAACATTACAGCTAACTGATGGAAAGAAGGGAATGATATTGAATTTTTATAATCTCCTAAAACAAGAGTGTGCTTTTTGGCGTCGAGATGAGAATTTAACTGCTTGATTAATAATGTTGGGTGAAAAGCTCCTGTCAATAGCTAGTGCTTTTAAATAATTTAGTTCTTCACCAAGGGATAGTTTGGAGGAGCAAACTTGAAGGACACGGAAAACATAGGAATAAAATAAAGCTAACATTTGTTTAGTCGGATGACATGATTTGAAGTGTGGTGGAAGGCAAACTGATGAAGGTTTATGGTAAACCGCAGTACTGAAGTTGGATGTGTTATGTGTACCAGAATGTCGAGAAACGGAAGAGAATTGCAAGTCTGAAGTTCAAATGTGAACTGAATATTAGCTGATATCTACATGCATTATTTTGAATCAAATTTCTTTGAAACTTTAAACTTCCTGGTATGGTTCCGCTATGTAGACGATACTTTTACCCTGTTTGAAGGTAATAAAGATGATTTAAATAAAGTTCTTTGCACAACGAATTCCACTGATCCTGCTATTCAGTTCACTTTTGAACTTGAGACTTGGAATTCTCTTCAGTTTCTCGACATTCTGGTCACACGTAACACACATTGTTTTAGTTCTGGTTTATTCAACAGATGACGCCAGTAGCTTAGCTCCTGTCAAGGCTTTTTTATCTTATTTCGTTCATTTGCACTTTTGCAGCTGAGGATGACGGTTCGGTAAAACCATCGAAACTAGTCCTGTGAAATTTGAAAATATAACACTGATTTTTGTTGTTTGAGTTCTAAATTAATATAGCCATATGTCAGTGACACAATCAAATGATATCAAATTTAATACCTAAAATGCATACAAATACACAATTAAGCATAATTTAATGCATATCACTTGCTAAAGAAACCTATAGTATGTGTAAGTCCAAAGTTGATACCAAAATTTATAAAATAACAATAAATATACTAACATGGAACACTTTTCATAAAGGAAGGTTTAAACAGATCAGAAAAGTAAATAATGTGATGCAGTTTTACTAGTATTCCCATGTTAGTTTTGTGTTGACTAAACAGCATTTAAATTGCTATGGGTCTACAATTTTTCATATATTGTTACCATATATAAGTACAACGATTTCTTATAACTAAACAGAAATCAAACTTTTTGCACTTTAATAGTATTATGCATAGAATAAAAATGCTTTACCTTTTCAGGAGTCAAACACCTCATATTGGTAAAACTTATAAGATGCATAAGGTAATCGTGAAGATCACATAAGTTTGTATTCACAGAAACCTAAAATATACATATTAACATTAGTATACTGTGAAGCAATACATTTTTTTTAGATAAAAGTAATAACACTGATTTAAAATCTACCTTATTCTCCCATTCAAATTCTGCCCACATTTGACGGAATTCCTGGTCAGTGCAAGTTGCAGGAATTATGTAATCCATAATGTCAATATGAATGTCATTCAGGACAACAACAATTCGATCACTCGTAGATCCACTTATGTCATACACTGTATAAGTTAAAAACACATTTAATACAAACACAAAAGAGATAATACTAAAGCAAAATTATTTATTGTACTTATAATTTTTAAAGCATTAAATTATTAAAATTTTATAGAAAAATTAATACAGAACTGTTTAAAGGAATTAAAAAAATTAAGTCTAGCAGTTTTTAGAGAATAAAATTACAGTGCATCATAGCAATTTCCAGTTTTACAATAATGATTCAAGTTTTTAATTTCATACATTCAAAATATTTTCAATTACTCCACAGTAGAAAATATTCTGATATTATAACTTGTAAATTCCATTGTTACCCATTTATTTCTTAATCAATAAATGATCTTTATGTATATTATTAATTATATGAATTTAAACTACAGGTACATAAATAGAATAACACTATCGGAACTATTTTTGTATTGCAGGCACACTGGGAGGGCAACAAACACATTTAAATTCTTCACAGACCTTGGGTTTTCGACCATTAGTCTCTTGCAGCACCCACATAAAGCCTTTAAACAAACTAAAGTTAACACCTTCTGTGGAATTCTGCAACATAATTAGAATCAGATTAAATTTTGAAAATGGTCAACAGTCATATAAGCCAGGCTATATAATGGTGCACTGCGAGTTTACCAGAATAATACAATGGAGATGGTTTTGCAAATAGCATGACCAGTTCTGAGACAAAAATTTGTTACATTCACGGTTTATGAAGGTTATAGGAAACTGAAATTTTCAGTAAGGAACCCCAGAAGTTTTTGCCCAGTAAGTTCTTTAAACAGGTTTTACCATCACAAACCAATATGAGATTTATTAAGTATTGAACAGTGGTAGAGAAATGAATAAGAGAATGTCGTTGAGGTAAATCAGCACCAGCCTTGGCCAAGCCACGGATAAAGTCATTTGTCATTTCCAATAATGCCATAATGGATGGAGATCTACTGCAGAGTAATGGGTCATCAATTTCCCAAAACATAGTCAAGAATCATCTGGTAGTCATTAAGTGATTTTTTTTAAACCATCAAAAGACACACGAGAAAGCACCTTAATGATAGCCTAGGGTCAATTACCAATTCCCCCAAGAGCTAAAGAAACAGCAGCCACTTCACCATTGAAGTTATTGCAGAACTTCGATGGTGAACAGCTTTGTCAAGATGAAAATATTTTGAGTGTAATCCAGTTTTAGTACTTTAATGACATCTGCTATGAAACCATCCTTGTAAATATACAGATAGTTTTGCAGAAGAGTACCTTTTATGAATTGTACCAAGATAAGCCATCTTTAAACTTCATATCAGTGGAAACTTTCCTATTTATGGGAAGAATCAGGTTTGGATGAATTGACTTAATTGAAATGTCTCCAACAGATGACTGATTTAAACAGAGGGCATATATTATGAGCAGGTATGTCATATTTGACTGCTAACTCTTTCGCCAAGTCCAAGAAAATTTTCTGAGTTTTTAATCTGAGCAGGAACATACATCAATTGAAAAACATTACACTACTTAGAGCAAGTTTTCAAATAGTTTCATGCTAGATCTTTGCCTATGGTCAACTAATGGTTCCACTAATAGTGCATGATTTCAATTCACGCAGAGTGAACACCATCTGATTATTTAAGAGCATTGTTTTGAACAATTTCCAGCTTTTTGTGTGTTGTCTCCGATACAGTAGCCAATTGCTCATCACCATACTCAATAAGAGATCAGATCTAGGTCTTAAAGATGATGCAAACAAATACTGTGAAGTACACTATTTCGACCATAATAATTTCCTTAATAATTTATTTCTGGAGCTACCAAATTCCATAGTGTTCTAAAAGCATATGCTCTAATTCATTCTATAATTCAAAATGATTCCGAAGTATAAAGCATTGATTTCATTTAGTTAGTTTAGTCCATTTGTTTCTTACTCATTTCTTACAGTGTTAAATAATTTCATTCTTAGAGCTCAACAAAGTTCTATTCACATATTTGTTCCTATTTCTTACATGAAAATATAAAATACTATAATTTAAAATTGCTTTAATAAAATCTTTTACCAACAAAATATACATAAAATTTAAAATTTGGCAAGTATGCAATTTTTTTTTTCAAATTATACCCAACATATCAATTATTCAAACACAAATTTTAATTATGTTCAAAATACTAATCAAATAAATAACACTGCATTATTAATCTTTTATTTGAAAATCAGCAATTGAAATGTTGAATTTAATGGATGTTAATTCAGAAGTCAAACAACAAAAATCAGCGTTATACCTACAAAATTTTCACAGGACTAGTTTCGATGGTTTTACCGAACCATCATCTTCAGCTGCAAACCGCAAATGAACAAGATAGGAAATAATGATAGGTAAGATAAGAAAGCCTGGACAAGAATAAGCAAGTGGCGCCATCTGTTGGCGAAACCAGAACTAAAACATAATTTCTCTAAAAGCCGAAGGCAAATTTGGATTGGAATTAGGATCGTTAACTAGAACAGAAAGATTTTTATGAATGTGAAATGCCTCTAGAAAATCCAGTTCTCCAATGGAAGATGTTTTTTGAATAATTTTGGCAGCAGAAAAATTGAAAGTGTGATTTTCGGACCAACAATGTTGAGCAACAGAAGACTTCTGTGTTTCCTTTTTTCTAACATATGCCTCATGTTCTTTGACGCGAAATTTTAAAGCCCTTGATGAAGAACTAAATTATTTAAAAGCAATAGCTATTGACAGGGGCTTTTCACCCAACATTATTAATCAAGCAGTTAAAAAATTCTCATCTGAACACACTAAAAGCCACACTCTTATTTTAAGAGATTATAAAAGTTCTGTTGTCATTCCCTTCTTTCCATCAATTAGCTATAAAGTTGCACATATTTTGCAGAAATTTAACTTTCGGGTTGTTTATTCTCCCATCAATAAAATTCCAACTTCTATACTCAAGGACCCCATTCCGGATATGAATTCCTGGGGTATTTATAGGATTCCTTGCCAGTGTGGTTTAATTTACATTGGCCAAACTAAGAGAGCCTTAAAATTTCGCGTCAAAGAACATGAGGCATATGTTAGAAAAAAGGAAACACAGAAGTCTTCTGTTGCTCAACATTGTTGGTCCGAAAATCACACTTTCAATTTTTCTGCTGCCAAAATTATTCAAAAACATCTTCCATTGGAGAACTGGATTTTCTAGAGGCATTTCACATTCATAAAAATCTTTCTGTTCTAGTTAACGATCCTAATTCCAATCCAAATTTGCCTTCGGCTTTTAGAGAAATTATGTTTTAGTTCTGGTTTCGCCAACAGATGGCGCCACTTGCTTATTCTTGTCCAGGCTTTCTTATCTTACCTATCATTATTTCCTATCTTGTTCATTTGCGGTTTTGCAGCTGAAGATGATGGTTCGGTAAAACCATCGAAACTAGTCCTGTGAAAATTTTGTAGGTATAACGCTGATTTTTGTTGTTTGACTTCTGAATTAGTATTTATTCAGCGTGTTATTGTGTCTTAATTAATGGATGTTATTATAATAATGCAACGATTTTTAAAATAAGAGATTTCTCTCTTTTGTATTACATGCTTTGCAACATATTACAGTACCAAGTCCGAAATCCGGACGTCCATTATCCGAAATGATCCAAAATCCAGACCTCAGAGCCACAAACTTTTTTTTTATTAATGCTTTACACATGCACATTTAATTTTTCTTTCCATAATAAAACATGTGGAAATTTTCACGTAAAAATTCCGATTCTTAACTTCACTCAGGCACTAAATAAAATACCTCGTTATGGAAAAACAATCACGTAAGCATAAATTTGTGAGATTAATAATTTGGCTCCGTAGCTGAGTATCTACTTGGCATACATCTCAATTAATACAACCGAAACATTCAGCTATTTTACATACTTGACATATTATTTATTATATTTTGCTTTCATCACCTCATGTTTATCAATACATGACAGCTTCAGTAATAACTCATGCTGTGAAAACATCACAGCATAAGTTTTACTGACTTTTTACTGACTGAACTTTTTTTTTTTATATTAGTAATTGAATAACAAGAGTATGGCAACCTTTTATGCTAACATTACACTCGGGGATGATTAAAGATTTTTAAATGCTCTAAGAAATGTTGACCAGGAAAATTTCTTTTCATATGCTAAAAATAGATTTTTGTTAATAAAACTCATATGCCACAAGATTACATTTAGTGCTATTTTAATTAAGAATAACTGATATGTTATTCACCTTAAACCCAGAAGCGGTGGCAGAAATATGTCGGCACCGGACGACAGAATTTAGAGATGATGAAATTTTTGGAATTTGGAGAAGCATCGAGCGGTAAAATTAAGGGATGAGAAGTTTTTATGATTTAGGGAAATCACTGGGATCCAAAGTTTAGGCACGGTAAAAATTTAGAACTTGGGAAAGCACTTTGTAGCAGAATTTTGGACTTGTAGAGACTGCACCAGGCGGTATCAAGTGCCTGCCCTAGATGAAGCCTTAAGTATATGTGGGAGTTTATTCAGGACTCGAATTATTTTGAATCATGTGCAAGAAATAAACATAGGTATAGTAAATAACTAAACTATTACAATTCAGGCTTAATTCAGAATGCAATAGGAGCAAGACAAAATTTAGCGAAACAACTTGGCTTTCTTCACCAATCTTGTGATACACAGCCAATAATGTATAACGGACGTTGTTAACAAAGTCCGTTAATTTAATTATCTTTACTGATTCTAAGGCATTTCAATTAATGTAGCAGACTGCGCTGCTCTCTGATCTTCTAATTCGATCCAGCTTATTATTTTTTGCAGACTGTTATTATCACAGCAATTTTATAAAAACTAATCTTGAACTGTCGATTATGTCGGAAAGAGTTTTCAACTCTGGAGTTGCCAAAGGATCTACAAAGTGAAACCATTAAACAAATTACAATTAATGTTCATTAAACAAAAAGTTGAATTCCTGCAGAAAATGGATAAAGGCCTATCCGTCTCAAAACTATACGAGGAGTATTGGAAAGTCCACTCACTCACTCACGCACGCACTCACGCACTCACGCACTCACGCACTCACTCACTCACTCACGCACGCACGCACGCACGCACTCACGCACGCACGCACTCACTCACGCACGCACGCATCACGCACGCACTCACGCACTCACTCACGCCACGCACGCACTCACGCACTCACGCACTCACGCACTCACGCACGCACGCACTCACGCACTCACTCACTCACGCACTCACGCACTCACTCACTCACTCCACGCACTCACACCACTCACGCACGCATCACCACGCACTCACGCACTCACTCACTCACTCACTCACTCACTCACTGACTGACTGACTGACTGACGACTGACTGAACTGACTGAACACACCACACCACACACACACACACACCACACAAAAAAAAACAAAAAAAAAAAGGAACTTTTTAAGTTTTTAAAAACAATAATTAAAATATCGAAGTTCGTTCAATTAAAATATCGAAGAAAGAAAGGTACTAAACGAAGGTTTTATTAAAAGGGGGATGAATAAATTTATAATCCTAAAAATGTTTATCATGATACTTATTTCATTCTTTTATCAGCCCTGGTAAATGCAAATTAATATTAAATTTTAATATGGTTATAAAAAATAAGTATTAAAAATTGTGAGAGATGCGAGATCCCAAATGCATAACTAAAATATCAATATTTACTTTCACTGAAAGTTTGTTTGTGTAATTATGGCAAAGCCTTGAGGGCTATCTGCCTAAGGGAAGGGATGCCTTCGTGCAGGACTTTCTAAGGGAAACTGGCTCATATACACGTTACACATGGGGAAAACCACAAAAACACCCATGCAGCCAGCCCGTTTGCAGGATTCAAACCTCGGACTAAACTACTAGTGTTCAGCGACTTTACCGCTTGGCCGCTGATGGGCCACTTTCACTGAAAGAATCATCACCTTAAAATATACGACTTTTAACACATTCTAAAGTACTGAATATCTAAAAATTTCAAATAAAGAATTAAAAATTACCATATTTATTTATAGTTCAGTAAACATAACATTTACAATATTACAAACTGCAAAATCTCAAAAAAAAAATGACAAACATAACCTTCTGAAAGCCCCTTATTTAAAATTAATGCTTATAAATTAAAAAAAAAAAAACTTGAATTTTAGAAAATATATATATATATTGATAACAGGCATTAATTTTAAACTAATCTCATTTTCTTACCAGTATGGGGAAAAAGTCACTAAGAACAAAAAATGAGAGAAATTTTCTGTACACGTTTTATAAAAATAAATGACAAGTAGTAACTCTCTTGAAGGCAAGACCTTTTAGATCTGCTTTCATTTAACAGCTATTTAAACAGCATTTATCAGATAGATTATGTGATCACTTGCTTTATAATCTTCCAATTCTTAGTAGACTGCTCATCACAAAAATAAAAAAGCAAAAATGCATTGGTTTCTAAATTTTTCTGGAAAATTTCATTTTTTTAAAAATTTAATACATTGCTTATTTCTCAAAATACTTCTTTATTGGTAAATTTTCCTTTAGACCTTTAATTTTTAATTGCTAATTTCTCAAGGTACCACTTTATTATAGTATTTCTTTTTGAACATTCTTCACTATGTATTTACTTTTGGTTTTGACTTTTACCCTTGCCTGCATGAATGACGAAACACTAATTGAATGATTGAAGAGTTAGGTTTGCAGGCAACTTCCCCTTGATAAGTCTGTCTCCTGCCTACTCAACAATAATTCACTTAAGCATTTTTAAAAAATTTTTTAGATTAATTTTAATTTGCTAAATTGGTGAATTTATTTTCATGGTTTGTTTTTCACTGATTTACTTGCTATCTGAATTTAAATGATACTGTAGATTAGTCGAAAATTAATCTTTTATTGTTTGCAAATTTTTAAAATTATTTTTACTTTAAATTTGCTTTTTACATATTTACATGTTGTTTAAATTTAAAAGATATATCTTTATATAATATTTAAATTATATAGTAATATATATATAGTAAATTACCTTTTTTACTTACATATCCCGATAAAAAAAATCTCAAGACTAGAATAAAAGCAATCATACTACACAGAGAACTCAAAATTGGTTTCGAGTCTGTAATGAAAAAAATTTACCAATATTTCCAAAAATTATTCCATTTTCAGTTGAGGCCACTTTAACACTTGCTTTGATATTGCAGAAATCATGTGGTGCTAACATAACTGGTGACGGTTTTTCTACAAGTTTTAAGTCCCCTTAAAGTAAAAGGAAATAATCCAGAAGTTAAAAATCAACATAAGTTATGGATCCTTCCTTTTTAAAAAGAATCCAATAAACTGCAAATACTTTTGCATTTTTAATTAATTTCTGTGTATAAAGTATTAATTTTAATACTTTATACACAGAAATATATACAGCCACAATGATCATTATAAAAATAAGTCACTTTTTTCAATATTTCTAAGCTATTACTATTATTTTAAAAAATAATGGGCAAATTGCACCAAGGATACTTTTGTAGTATATAAGAAATGTTTCACACCATCTCATAAAACACAGAATATCTGTAGCATTTAATACATCTAGTAAAATGAAAATTTTCACTTAAAAATTGGTATCAAAAGAAGTTCGCAAATAAATTTTATAACAAGTAATATTAATTTTAACTAAAAATTTTAAAATATAAAAACCATTTACATAATTATAAATTACACAACAAAATATTATGCCATTACTAAATGAAAAAAATGAAATTTTTAACTTTCAGACTAAACTTGCATAAATTAATTTTTATAAATTGCAATGATACATTATAATGTTACACTTATTAACTTTCAAAATTTAATAATTTAACTATAAATAAAATTAAACTTTACGATGCAAAGTTTGTCTTCCTGAAGAATACCTGCAAATAAAAATTTGTTTAATGGAAATACATATACAAAAATGAAACTGAAGATAAAAATGAAAGCAAAATTTTTATAACAATAAACAGCTTTTTGAAAAATTAAGAGTGTTCCAGCCTACTTTGAACAATAATACCCTGAAGCACCATTATGAAAGTATCAAACTCAAATACCAACTTTTTAACAAAGACACTGAGAAAATGGAATTTAAAAAAAAAAAAAAAAAAAAAGGACTTGTATTTTCAAACAATCTTTGCTTTAAAACAAATATTTTGTTATTATTACGAATTATAATATTACACTTACACTCTTCAAGGGTTTTATTGCTTCCAATTCGGATTCCATACCCTTTCAAAACAGAAAAGGGAAAATTAAGGAAAATTTCATTTAAGAGAAAATATTTCCCTTACAGCGAAATAAATATACAGCATTGAATAAGCGAGTCTTTTCTCTATTAAATATAGACACAGGTCTCCACATAAATTTAATTTATGACAAAATATCGCTATTTCTTTCTAACATTAAAATTTGCCATATTAAACAGTTATTGGCTTAACTGTGAGAGGTTAACAGTTATGGGTTAACTTAAACTAGGTCATTCACAATTAATTAAACTGATATTGTTTCAAGGCATTAATCTGAAATCTGCATATGAAGATCAGACTGCAGTTTCCTTTTAATCTCATAATTTTAATATTTTTTTCATTTTTAAAAGATTCTTTGGAGCATGGAACAACTCTTCAATGGGTTACATGATAATCTAAAATTTTCAAGTTGCAATATTTTTGTAACTTTTTCAGCAATTATTTAAATTGCTTACATTAAAATATTTGAAGTCACAATTTTGCAATCGAAATTCTTATTACGTATAAATTTTGATAAATTTCCACTTTTAACATGATGATTTATATGTATAAGCAACTAGATTATTTAGAATTTTTTTTAAAATATAAATTGTACTCCACACTTTTACATATGAAAATAAATAACAGATTAAAACTAAAACATGTCACTACATTAACAAACCATGTATATATATTTGACATTGTAGCGATTAGAATACCTAGTGTGGCCAATTCAAGTGTGCAATTTTGTAGAGTATCTGGGGTTTGATTAACTATGAGGACATCTAGAACAATATCATATTGGTTCACATGTACATATGCTTCAGCATATACAGGATCAGAAAAGCCAGTAAGTTGTGTCACTTTGCTCAGTTTGGAAGAGCTCAAATCCGCAGGTGAATCTTTTTTCAAAACTCCCATAGCTTGAGAAAGGCTCAATTCGAACATATTCTGAAAAAGAAAATACAATATAAGTTTTTACTACATCAAAATTTTAATTATAATATAAAATAGGAATTAAAATGAGCTTTTCTTAGCAAATCAGATTTTTAATTAATGGAATTTATTTTCTGTTCCCTTCAATTTTGTCTTATCAGACATGTTTTGGACATAACATGCATACTGCAAACTCAGCGCTTTTAAAAATATAGTCCTTAAATTTTTCTCTTTTCACTTGCATTTAAACTTTATTTTTCTAATCTCCCTGCACTCTTCTTTTCTTTTTCAATTCAAATTTTATTCTGCTTGAGTGATGATAATATATACTCATATTTACACCTGAATATCTATCCTGACTTGATTTTTAGAAAACTTGGCAGGCGAGTAAAATTGCATTTTTATTTAAATTCACATTTGTGGCCACAATTCACTTGGCACTCTAATCATGCCTACTCAAGAACATTTACATTTTCCATGCTGCTGCTATGCAAAGAGAGCATAGTGAAAAAGGCATCATTACAGCAAGAAGCTTAAGTGTATGATTATTCAATATGGAAACTCACCAGGAGGAAGATTTTGGTATAGGTTAGAAAGGTTTCACTTCTCAAAATTTTGAGTTCAAGTTCCAAATTAGCTATGTCATCAGCATTATGCAAGCCATACGACACAGATTAGCCTAGAAATTGCGCAGTCCAGAAACATTATTACTGCTTTTAGATTACTGAGAGGAAATATATATAAAAATTCTAACTTAATCCCATGTACATAAAATAAATTTTTCCTAGGAAAGCATCTATGGGTTTATTTTAACAAATGACACTACAGTGGAATCTCAAAATACGAGCACCACAATATACAAGAAATTTGAGATACAAGAAAAGTACTAGAGAGAAATTTGTCTCTAAATACAAGCATTGACTCGAGTAATGAGAAATGAGCCAGGCTTCTGTTATGCATGGGGCCATTTCCCAACCGGCTCGAATAAGGGAATCCTCTTATCAGATCCCTCAGAGTTTTTTTTATCTATGTGTTTGTGTATTTATGAGTCAATTTTTTATTACATTTAATGTGAAATAATTATTTCACGATGCCTCCCAAGAAGATTGTTGCTTCAGATAGTGCTGCAAAGAAAAATAAGGAAACCATGGCCATTGAAATTAAGAAAGAAATCATCGATAAGCATAAATGTAGTATAAGAATGGCCTTTTGACATCGATGATATGCTCTATTCTTAGAAGAAGGAAGAAATTTAGAAATGTCATGTAGCCAAAGGAGTTACCATTACTTCCAAAGCACCATCCCAAACTCCTAGAAGATATTGAGAAGCTGTTGCTGGTGTGGATTAATGAGAAGCAGTTAAAAGGTTGGTGTCAGAATTTATCATTTGTCAGAAGCTATCATAAAGTTAAACTATGGTTATATTATTTACCAGTGTTATTTATTAGAAAAATAGATTTTTATGCTGATTTTTTTGGTGATGTGGAACAGATTAACTGGATTTCCTTTATTTTCAATGGGGAAATTTGTTTCTAGACATGAGAAATTTGCTATAAGAGCTCAATGCTGAAACGAAAACTCATATCTCGAGGTTTCACTGTATATGCCATTTCCTATTAAAAATACTACATAACAGAGGCTTATTTATATGACCTAATTGGGAATGAACCTGTTTAAACTAGTTTGGGATGGATAGGTAAACTATTTCTGTATAAATTTATGAATACATTCATGAACACCTGCAAATATATATGAATATAATGCAATTTGAAATCCAAATAATATAATGAAAAGGCTGCTGATTTAATAAATATATTAAAGTTCCTCCAACTGATAAGTAATTACCTATTAAAGGAAGTATATTTTTGCTTTGAAAATTATACCTAAAAATCAGATACATAAATAATTTTAGATACTATAAAGAAGTAAATATGATTATGAACATAACTCACACTTACACTGTTATTTCCACTCAATTATCTCCAAAAATTTTATAATATAAAAACGTTACTACATAAGAAAAGTTAATATTACAGTTATTATATAAGAGATAAATTTAAGATTCTGTAGAGTATTTATATCAGAAAATGTTGTTACTTTACCTCTGTTCCAGATGCATCACCTTTAGCAGTCAGCTGACTGAAAGTGATTGGATCATCAGCATGAACAACAACACTTTTCTTCTCTTTGGACTAAAGCACAATAAAATCAATCATTTTAAAGGGAAAATTCTGATTAAAAAATGTTATATATTACAATATATATGATGTGATGAAAATTGGCACAAAACAAGATACTAGTAAATTTAGCATGAAAGTTTTTTTAAAAAAAATTACAGTTTACCTGTAAATTTGCATTGTAAACATTTTAATGCACAAACTGAATAAATAATTAGACCCTTCACAGACAAATCTGAATAGCTTTCTCTTGCACCATTAGAGATCATTATACTTATTAATTAAATTAACATTTCAGTGGTTTATGGTCCAATAATTGCATTCTTGGTGATTGTATTTTTAATTTCTTGCAAGAAGGTTTCTAGAAAAATATTACTTAGTGACAAAATGAAGTAACTCCTTTTGGTTGTTCAAGAGATTATAATATATAACAGGAGACTGAACTTGTTAATCCTTCATGGAGCACAATAAAACAATTTTTTAAACAATGGGCAACAGAAAGAAAAACAATCCACGTCAATCCAGTAAACTGCAGTTAAAAAAAACTGATTAGGACTGCTGGGGACCATTGTGAGAAGTATCTAAAAACTGGTACATAACAAGGAAATAATTGCATGAAAACAAGAATGACAATTTACCTGAAATACTTTCAAAACAGATATTAGGTAGGGAACTCGGTGCTACTGACATATGGAGCAGAGAATCAATCAAAATAGTCTGGTTTAGAATTCTAACTGCATACAAAATAGTATCGCTGTAATGGACTAAACTCTCCAAAAGAACAGAAATGTGGAAAACTGAAGGCTTATCATCAGGGGTCTGCTGAGTTGTATTCCTGCCCTTACAGCAATCAAAAATTTTGTAGAGAATATAAATTTAATAGAGAATAACAGAATGCAAGAAGCTCTATGAAGAACTTTACGCAACATGTAGTAAAAGGAAAAGGTCCAGTCTTCAATATTCTATTCTGGAAGTGTTTCAGGCATTTTGTTGGCCCTGTTTGTTCCAATTAACATGCACTGGAACCTAGCAGTATACTCAGACTTTAGATAAACTGGTGCCACTTTTACTTTATCATCTAACTAAAGAAAGATAACCCCATTGTTCATCCATAGACTTGCTGGGTATATATCAGGGCAATATACTACTATTTTTAATGGCAAAAGAAGGCAAATTAAACATTAGTTACTGTTTATTACAGATGTCTAATTTTTGGTGCAGTGAGAATATATTTCATACAAGGAAGACTTATTTTATATGCTTGTTACATATATTGACAAAAGTAAAAATTAATAAATATACTATTCTCTAAAAGTAATAGGAGTTTGCAAAAATTTAAATTTTTCTTAAAACTTTAACTAGGGTTAGAGGGGTTAGAGTTTAAAAAATTATATTAAATACTTAAGACCACTTCAAAAATAAAGACAAATAAAAAAAATTGTAACTGATCATAAAAAAGGAATTATTTCAAATATATTGAAATTAATAACACCAAAAGTTTAAAATAGTATAAAAACCTTTAGGTATTCCTGCTCCTCCTCATGTTTAGCAGCTAACATAGCTGCGAGAGATTTACGGCACTTGTCATTCAATATATCTATCATCAGAGGTGAGCGGTCAGCCAAAACTTTTAGACATAAAGCTATTCTTTCCATGTCATCATCATTAATAGTCTGAAATTGAAATAAAACAATTATTTTATTTTGGTGCCTAATTAAAAGTTTTCAAAATTAATTAAAATAGGTGAAAATAAAAGAACTGTGATCCTAATACGCATTTGAACCACTCCAAAGATAGTCTAAAATGTCTATATTTCTGCTACATGTTGTACAAATTCCACAGCTACTCTTTCCTTTCTTCCACCAGAAAACAATAGCTATAAATTTAGCACTGAAGTTGGAATATTTAATAAATGCATTTTAAATACAAATGAATGCAAGTAATCTTCATATAACAGAGAACTCAAAGAAAGAATTGCTCTTGAGCATTAGTTACATAAAATTAAAGAATAAATAAATTAAAATAGTTTAAACTATAAACATTAAGTCTTCCTCTCGATTCTAAAATCGTAATAACTTCTCTGCATTGCGTCATTTCTAGATCACTCTATGGCTCGCGCAGCTTGATGACTAAACCGAAACCAAAACTTTTCTCTCGCGTGCTTCCAGCTTTATAACTCGCACTCTCTTTTGCCCTCTACTCTGCTAAGCGTATTTTGCGGCTTGCTTCTTTCACAGTATCAAAAAGTCAATCTTCTGTGGAAAGGCACGACTACTTGCAAAGTGATTGTGGCCACAAATATCAATGCAAATAAAAATGGAATTAAATTGCCTCGACTGCCAGTTCTTTATATTACCAAGTTAGCTTATAGCAATACTCAACAAAATCTTCTACTATGGTACTATACGCATCGACAGTTCCGGCTTTTTCTTGTGATTTATTATGACATATATATATCTTTTTGGTACAATTTTGCCATTGCTCGCTTTGAAATCATTGAATTATCATTGTTAATTAAACATTCGTTGAAGTATTACATATGAAATCGGTAATAAAACAAATTTCAAATAATGGTTTTCAGATGACCATATTTGGTGGAAGATTATGCTAATCAAAATTTGATAGCTCTTGGTACCATTGTTTTATCACAATGCTAGAAACATACACACATTTATGCAGATTTTTCATTATTTAATTTCTTTAAATATGACACAGAGCAATAATATCTGGTGGTAACAATTTGAACAGTAAAGTGACATTTAAAGTTATCAATGCAAAATGCCAAAACAAAATCAATAGTCCTTCTAGACTAAAGTTCTTTGGGCTAATATGATTGTTTAAATTATAGATTCATTAAGATTTTTTGATGTTGGAGAGGTAAAAAAAGTGCAGTGCTTTCGCTGGGACTCGAACCCTGGACCTCTTGAATGCACGCCGAGTGTACCTTCAGTTACAATATGAAATCATGCAGATAGGAGGGAAAAAATACCTTATAACATTAACAAACATTATACATATTATAACGTAGCACAATTTAAGAACCAACTATTTTTATAATGATAATTTCAGTAATGTCTGGAAGCAGTTATACTTCAAACAACTGCTTACAAACAACATGAATAAAATTTATAGTGGATTTTCCATATTATCCTCCTATGCAAACTAATGCTGATTCTTATCAAATCACAGAGGTTTTTAATTTAAATATGATAATTCTTACAAAGAACAAAATCCTAATTTATGTTTGGCTCTGAAATAGTTAAAAGTATAACTTTTCTTAGCATGAAATGTACCTGCAAAACTTTTATCATTTCAGAGTTTTCTGTAAGGTAGTTAGCTTTACTGTACAAAACGATTGCCCATACATAGACAAATGTGAAATATACATACAACTTCAACAACTCTGTCAGTCCCTTAGCAGAGAACTGAATGGAACCAAACTCCCAAGGAAAGCCTCATATCTAACTATGTTGTGACCCCACAGCCAAGGGGCAGACAAGACAGTACCACACAGTCCCTGTCGAGTGTGAACCATCCTCTGAATGAACAGAGGTTTTAGTTCTGTGAAGACTGGTTATATAACCCCATGGACGAGAGTGCCTAAGTACAGATCCTAGCCAGCAGCTTCATCGGATTTCTGGGATTGACCCCTGAAGGGGGCAATGATATACAAAAACATTGCTGGTATACAGAATATGAAATATGTTAATACAGTACAAAGTCTGAAATCCAGACTCGTCGGGACTTCGGCAATTCCGGATTTGAGATTTTTCCGGATATTAGGATATCAATTTAAATCTGGTAAGATGGAATGCTGAAATTATACAGTTAAAAATATTGTTACTTTTTTTCTAGTTGTTACGTTTTCTTCTTTCACGTTTGTATGGGGTTCGTAGATTTAGAGTGAATAATGACGACACTTTATGAAGTATCGGAACACACTTTAATTACCAATATTAATCAGATAGCTCCAAAATCACTTTTACAGTTGTTGAACTGTTATAAATACGCTGACATGTTCAGCAACACAGCCTTCACACTGTCAAGCACTAGGTGGCGACAGCTCGCTTCAAGCACCAGAGTACAGCTCTGATCTGATTGTCGTTCTCGGAATTCCTACTCCGAGACTCTCCACAAACAACTGCATGCACTTTACGATACACAAGATTTAGCTCTCTACTCAGCATAACTAACATATAAACAATAGGGGCGTTTCCTTCTTATGAAAAGAAGAAAGGAGTTTAGGCAAATGCCCATTACTCTTCCGCCATTTGATCATTTAAATCAAGGGATTAAATGGTAATCCCGTAAAAGGTATGGAATAAACAGATAGATCTCAACGACACCAATCTATAGTATAGCAAAAGATCCCATCTCTAAGTTCAAGGTTCGCTGATCGGAAAACTTTCCTATTGGAGGAAAAACCGATTCAATCGCTCCTCTCGACTCAGCATAGTCCAAGACAACTGATGCTCTATCGCGATACCTAAAAGACTCTCTCGATGCCTTGACAACCCATGCATCGAGACTTCGAGCACTTGCTCAATGCGCTTATCAGCTCGCTAGCGAGGACAACTAACTGACTGCGGACCATCAGGGGTTATAGCTTCACTTGTGTTTGAAATATTCTGGCTAAACGGTCAGAGTTCATTCAGAAGTTCTCATCTTCCCTGGATATCGCCAATTTTGTCGCCAACGGGCAACCCTCCCTTCCCTGCCATTTTGCAGCCCTAAAACTGCTTGTGGAGAAGCCATCTTACCACCCTGTACTTTCGTAACAATATGAAATTTCTTTAGAAATAGAGAACAATTATGTTCAAAATTACAAAAAATCTAATATTATTTGTTTATTTATAAACATTTCCTTCAATGTAAGTTGTTTAAGTTGCTTCACAAAAATTCTTTTCTTTTTTTCTTATGTCATATCATTGACTTTCATGCATACACCTCGCATAATTTAGACGATATGCTTTATACATTTTTTGCAGCAATTTCACTTTTTTTTGAATCGTAACATGGTTTCATTGGTAGATCCTTTGGCAGTTCAGATTGAAACTCTTTTCGACTATCGAAAGTTCAGCTTAGTTTTATAAAATTGCGTAATAATAACGTCTGCAAAAAATAATAACTGAACAAACTAAAGATTAGGAGCAGCGCAGTCCGTTACATTAACTAAAGTGCCTAGAATCAATAAAGTAATTTAGCCTAGTTTAATATATCTGTGACACAAATTGGCTGGTGTCACAAGTTGGTGACGAAGTTAATTGTTTGGTAATTTGTCTTGCTTCTATGCATACGAATCACCTGAATTGTATTAGTTTAGGTATTTACGTCCCTCGTATTTTTTCACATTCTTAAAACTATCTGAGCCGAATAAATAAACTCCCACATATACTTAAGGCTTTATCTAGGGCTGGTGCTAGATACTGCCTGGCGCAGTCTCTATAGGTCATAAATTTTCCTAAGTTTTAAATTTTCACCGCACCTAAACTTTGGATCCCAGTGCTTTCCCTAAACCATAAAAAACTTCTCATCCCTTAATTTTGTCACTCAGTGCTTCCTCAAATCCCAAAAATTTCGTTTTCCCTGAATTCTGCCATCCAGTGCCGACATATTCTGCTGCCGCTTCCGTGTTTATGGTGAATAACATATCAGTATTTTACTTAAAATATCACTAATGTAATCTTTGGGCCTTCATTAACAAAATCATTTTTAGCATATGAAACAGAAATTTTGTTGAATTTTCCCTCAACATTTCTAAGAGCATTTAAAATTATAATCATCCCAAGCATAATGTTAGCATAAAAGTGCCATACTCTTGTTGTTCAATTATAATATAAAAAAAAGTTTGACGTCACTCCAATTATATGAAGCGTCACGTTTGACAAACATAAGGTGATGAAAGCAATATAATAAATATTGATGCCAGGTGGGTCAGGATATCAAATAGGGATGTTCAACACGGAGAACGACGAAACATTAAGATGTCTGCCAAGCAGATCTCCGCTACGGAGCCAAATTATTAATCTCACAAATTTATGCTTACATGATTGTTTTTCCATAACGAGATATTTTATTTAGTGCCTACATAAATTTAAGAATCGGAATTTTTAAGTAAAAATCTCCACCTGTTTTATTATGGAAAGAAAAATCAAATGTACATATGTAAAACATACCCCCCACCCAAAAAAAAAGTTTTGTGGCTTTGAGGTTTGGATTTCAGATCATTCCAGATAATGGACATCCAGATTTCGGACTTTGTACTGTATCTAATCCGGACGTCCATTATCCGGAATGATCTATATTCCGGACATCAAAGCCAAAAACTTACGCATGCGCGTAAAGCCAGTAAAGAGTTTACCCATGCGCGCTTCTCATAGTGAAGAAAATAACAGAGAACGTTATTGAAAACGGAAAAATTTCGATTGATAAGTTAGTCGGTATTCTCAGCACGGCAATTACAGGACTTGAACAGTGGAACTTCGTAACTGAACAAGAAATTATGTCTGTTTATATAGAATTAAAGAGAAAGTATTAGCACAAAAAACAAAGCAACTGAAACAACTTACATTGATAGAAATGTTTACTAAAGTAAACAAATAAATATTAAGCTTTTTTTTTTTGTAAATTTTGATACTTTTTAGATCATAAATGCTCTTTATTTCATAAATT